TTATGTAACTCATTTTATGTGATCCAGCTTTTCAAAGGAATTGCCTCAGAAGCTGATTCATTACTTAATGATCTTCAAAATAGTCTCCACAAGCAAGAGGCCAAGTTAACTGCTTATGCACAACAACAACGAGAGGTATGTGATTGTTAGTTTACTTGGCGAACATCTGGTTGAAGATGCCGTAAATTTATTCTGTATTGTGTACAGGCACATGCTAGAGCAGTGGACACTACACGTACGATATCTAAAATAACAGTCAACTTCTTTGAGACATTAGACATGCATGCATCCAATTTAACCCGAATTTTAGAAGATGCACAAGTCGTCAACGATCAGAAATTGTGCGAGCTGGAAAAGAAATTTGAGGTGACTGCCCAGCTTCTTTTGAGTTGCAAGGAATAATGATTGAAGGGATCTGCATCTTTTTTTCATTTTTAACTTTGTTTCTTATCATACCTTAATTTATATAGGAGTGTACTGCTAATGAAGAAAGGCAATTATTAGAGAAAGTGGCAGAAATGATAGCGGGTTCAAATGCGAGAAAGAAGAAGCTGGTATCTGTAGCTTTTGAACTTGCGCTAACTTTATTTGTTTCGTATATTGTTTCCATATTCTTAACTCTTTGCTTCATTTTCTAGGTTCAAATGTCAATTAATGATCTTCGGGAGAGCGCCAATAGTAGAACCAGTAAGCTGCGGCAAGAGACACAGACCATGCAAGAGTCCACTTCATCTGTCAAAGCAGAATGGAGAGTTCACATGGAAAAAACGGAAGCCAATTACCATGAAGATACTTCTGCTGTGGAATCTGGAAAGAAGGACCTTGAGGAGGTCCTTCAGAACTGGTACGTACCTACCTACATACTCTGCCTCCATTAATCGGAAAAACGCACAACTCAAGCCTATAAGTCATATAAAGCAGTAATATTTTCTCAACACTTGCAAGAATCTTTAAATAAATAAAACAAACACGAGGTAAAAATCAAATAACACAATATACACCAAAATTATTGATGTGAAAAAACCCTCGATATAAGGGTAAAAATCATGGGTCTTATAGACCAAAGAAAAATAGCTCCATGATGATTAAAACTATAGAAGACTCTCAATCACATACACAAACAAGTGCAAACAACCAAAGCTACAAGCTTAGTATAGAGAATGAAAAAGTTGAAAAATACCCTAACCAGAGGCCGTGGATCGAACTCAATAACTCTCGTATAGGCAAAACTAATTTACTAAGACTGTCTGGTGAAGATGCAAAAATAGATTTCTCTCTTCTTTTGTCCCCAAATGTCTGCTCTTCTCGCTCTAATAAGACATCTCGCACTTATCCTAATCTGCCCCTTCTTCACTTTAATAAGTGAGACTCAAATTGGCTCCAAATATTGGGTTTTTCTCCACACCTGGGAAGGAAGCCCAGACCCATCACCTATTACATTTTTTATGTTTATTGTAAACTTACTGTTTATACTGCTGTAGCCTCAGCAAGGCAAAAATTGGTGCACAACAATGGAGGAACGCGCAAGAGTCACTAATTAGCTTGGAGAAGAGAAACGCTGCTTCTGTGAATACAATAGTGGGGTAGGCTTTATGATCCCTATTAAGATGAATGCGGTCTTAATTTGATGTTTACTTAATTCTGAATGTTTTCTTTGTTCAGGCAAGGAGTAGAAGCCAATCAAGCGTTACGTGCTCGATTTTCAAGTGCAGTATCGACTACACTTGAAGATGTAGAGATAGCAAATAAGGATATCAATTCATCCGTTGATCGTCAGTATTTGATTTCACATACATTCTTACGCATATACAAGAATTTTCTTACTAGGTCACACCATGAATATTAATTGACAAGAATTTTCTTACACATTCTTACACTTGCAGATTCCTTACAACTTGACCACGATGCATGTGACAATCTAAACTCCATGATTACTCCATGCTGTGGCGATTTAAGAGAACTGAAAGGTGTCCATCACCACAAAATTGTAGAGATAACTGAGAACGCAGGGCATTGTCTTCTGAACGAATACATGGTAAGAGAATTCAAGCGGCATTTTCCCGTATTTCAATTTCTAATGTTTACAAATTAAATTATCTTTTTTAACATTCAGGTGGACGAACCATCTTGTTCAACACCGAGAAAGAGACCATTCAATTTACCCAGCATATCATCCATAGAAGAACTAAGAACCCCACCATTTGAGGAGCTGTTAAAGTCGTTCTGGGATGCAAAATCTCCAAAACTGGCAAACGGAGATGTTAAACACATTGGATCATATGAAGTTGCTCTGTCAGTGAGAGATTCCAGATTACCTCTTACTGCTCTCAATTAGGAAGGACAAAGACAGAGCCGTGTAAATAGCATATTGCTCAGATATATAGTTCTAAGAGTTATGAGTTATGAGTTATGACATGACATATTCATTTATTTTTTTTCTTGGATGAAAAAAATGGGGATCATGGTTGTGGAGACACGAATATGTATAAGTTTTTTAATTTTTCCAAGTTTAGTTTTGCGGAATAGTTTTGCTTCCGCATGATGACGATTCATCTATTGATGTCAGTTGCAGTTGGATCCGATAATACTATGATTTTGGGGTGTTGTGTTTAATCTTAACTCTCAAGAGTTCCTCAATAAGAACTATCATAAATGTACGTTAAAGGTATTTTAGCGTGAGTGGATTCGAATTTATGATTGGGTTTAATAAGTAATATACTATTTCCGGTCCTTAACATAAGATTCTGTTTGACTTTTATTTTGGTTCTAAATATAAGATCCGAATCTACTTTGTTTCTCATATTTATACATTTTTTCCAAAGTAGCCTTTCTAGCAGTGATAGTTCTACTCAATACACTTGATTGACAAGGATATTTTAAGAAATACAACACCTATTTAGGACAAATAACTAACTCAACTTACTTCCTTAATTTTCTCAAATTAGTCAATTGGCTCTTATAATTAGGACCAGAGGTAGTATATCTCAAAATTTAAAAAACACAAATTTATATATCGTTCCACTTATATATGTATAAATATTGTGTTTTTAGATTGAGTTGAGATTTGATGCCTCTCAACTCCTGACCCACTTGTATTTCCCCTCATTTTGATGCCGCTTACTTACTATTTTCATTCCACATTTCATGTAACTGATATTAGCATCCACTTGGTATGAAGATGCCATTAGAACTTTGAGAGTCGCATAAAGCTTTGAAAAAGGGATAATGATGGAAAGAAACTGGAAAACTGATTTTACTACCAATATAATTCATATATTATAGAAGTAAATTTCTAGTGGAAATGAAAACCTGGAGGAAAAATATTATTTGAAAAAGAGAGAGAATAACAATTCAAAATCCTATAAAAAGACTGATACCAAATATAAGGTTCATTGCTCGTTTTTCCTCATATTTCAGCACTGAAAATCTTTATTTCGATATCAACTTTCTTGTAACATCTTTAACTGTCATTCTCCCTTTAAAAAGAATTGAACACCAAACACAATAAACTAATTTTCCAGGGTCAAAACGAACTATTTTAAATTTTATTAATTCAAACAAAATCATTCGCATACTATTATCATATATCATTCCTTCCAATTAAAGGATTTTTTTCCCTTAAAAAATAGATATTCATGATATTTTAACATTTAGAATAATGTTTTACTTACAACCAAATATGAGATTATACGTAAGTGCCCGAGGACAAATATGGGAGGCTTGAGAGCGAAACATAAGCAGGTAGGAGAATGCATATTTCTTGTTTTCATGAACTATGACGGTATGACTTAGTCGGGCCGGCAAGAAAACGGACAAATATGGGAGGCTTGAGAGTTGAGAGCAAGACAAGCAAGTGGAAAAAATGCATATTTCTCATTTTCATCAACTGTGACAGCGTGACTTAGTCAGACCGGCAAGGAAAGAGGAAAAATTAACAAACCTCCATGACCTTTTACTTTAAGCCAACAGGAGGTTAATCCAATTAAATACTTCAGGATCACGACCTTCTTGAAAAAAGAATCATTTCTACTTGTAACTATATATGCTGGCTGAACTGATAGAGACCAGTTCAAGGAGACGGAGGCGTCAACTTCTTAAATTTTAAGAAACAAGTTACACCTTTCAGTTATGACGATACTTTTTAAATTTTAATTTCTTCTATTTGGTATCGGAGGAGAAAATTAAATAAAGATGGGTGGTTGGGGCAAACATGATGCTCTCTGCAAATACCATTTGGAACAACTGACGATGGGGCACGACTCACGGGTGATTGTCAGCTATAGGAATCTAACTATATATAGCTGGGGATATTTTCAATATATATATATATATATAGCAAATAATTTTAGTGTCTCCCACAAGCAAAGGGTCTTTTTTTACTGCGAACTATATATTAATATATATATGTGACATATATAAAGCTGCTTGTCCACAGTTTAGTTTTGTCTATTATTCAAGACGGGAAAAAAAAACTAGAGGAGGCTAGCATGAATCCAAAATGTTAGGCCGTTGCCGTCCCGCTACGGACCAAATTAGCATCTGTGATGCAAGCAATGATGTTCAGAGATACCATAGGAATTGAGATTCCACATTATTCATTTTGGATCACCCCACTTCATGCGAAGTGATTGAACAATGCATCCTTCTGCTTCATGAACCAGATTCGCCGTCTCGCATTGGATTCAGATCAGAGCCGATGGTTATGGATTAGCCTAAGAATATTTTACTTCACGCACGCCAACTATAATCGTGTGGATATCTGCATTATATGACGATTCCATCGTAATCAACGGAACATTTAAAGGAGACAAAATGAGCGTCTAGTTTCGGAAGAGTTAATATTTGTTGGCTCTGCCGGTTCTATGATCCTCCCAGAATTAAAATCGACGTCTAAGAAAGCCGAAAAGACAAGAAGGCTTTGTTGGTGAAACCCAAAGTCGACCCTTATTGCATGCATAAATAACCCTAAACGCAACACAAATCCTCATTCACCAATAACCATGAGTTTACTCAACCCCTTTATCCTTGTTATGTTCCAGCTTCTCTTTGCCGGAATCACGATGGGGCATTCAGCACCAAAGCCAAAGCTCTTCAGAGAATACATAGGAGCCGAAGGCAAGAACGTCAAGTTCTCAGACGTGCCCATAAATCCCACCGTGGAATTCCACTTCATTCTCTCGTTCGCCATTGATTACACAAACTCAACCTCCCCTCCAAGCCCTACCAATGGCGATTTTAAGCCCTACTGGGACACACGAAATCTCAGCCCTTCTCATGTCTCTTCCATTAAGTCCTCCCACCCTAACGTTAAAGTAGCTTTGAGCCTCGGAGGCGACACCATAGCTCAACAAAAAGTGTTCTTTAAACCCACTTCGGTTAATTCATGGCTCCGAAACGCAATCCATTCTATTACCCAACTCGTCCAGTCCAACCACCTAGACGGAATCGACATTGACTACGAACATTTCAACGCAGATCCTGATACGTTTGCTGAGTGCATAGGGAAGCTTATATACTACCTGAAACAAAGTAGGACTGTGTCGTTTGTTTCTATAGCACCGTACGATGACGAACCAGTTCAATCTCATTACCTGGCTTTGTGGAGAGAGTATGGGCATCTCATAGACTACGTCAACTTTCAGTTCTATGCATATCCCAAAGGGACGACCGTAGGTGAATTTATGGGACACTTGGAGAGGCAAGTGAGGAATTACAGAGGAGGGAAGGTGCTGGTGAGTTTTGGTACAGATGAAAGTGGCGGCTTAAAACCAGAGCATGGCTTTTTTGAAGCGTGTTCTCGACTTTCACGCCTCGGCAAACTTCATGGCATCTTCATTTGGTCTGCCGATGACTCCCAAAAATTCAATTTTCGTTACGAGATTCAGTCACAGACCTTGCTGACTACCGTTTAAGTTCATAATAAAAACCATTTTGCGACAGATTCAGAGTTCAGTAATTATAACTTTACGTGATTGTAGTGGGTGTTAAAACTTCAATTTACTCCTTTTTCTATCTGGCCAAAAAGAAAAATTACTCCATTTTCTAAGACATAAACCAAGTTATAGTGGTTTATGCAGAAATTAATGTAAGCTAGTAGTACTAATGTACTGGTATATCCCAGTATTGCGTCGTCGACTTAAAAATGTAAAATTGAACAAATGATTATTTTGTGCCAAAGAAACCAATAATATTTTTTCAATGCATTAATAAAAAATGTACAGTAAACCATATGTAAAATTTGTATGAATGAAGCATGTCGAAATATTTATCAGGGATAATAATTGAATTTGACTCAGTAAATATCGAACGATTGTATTAAATTTAAAAATATATAATTACATTATAAAATGGATCTTACATTTCAAATAAGAGGAGTAGTATATAAGACTTGAAAATTTATTAACAGAGAATTTTCACATTTTTAATTAGGTTTAATTATAAATTAAGTTTTTTAATTTTATATAAGTTTTCAATTTAATTCATTAATTTCCAGTTGAAAAATTCAGTCATTTAACTTTAAAAGGTTTATTTTTACACTACAAAAAAAAAATCACTTTCACTTTTGGCGCAACAAAACAAGTCGCCGCTGAAAGTATGACTTTCAGCGGCGGCTTTTATTGTTACCGCCGAAAGTGAGACTTTTTAGCAGCGACATGAAAGTCGTCGCTGAATGTTGGACTTTCTGCGGTGACTGCATGTGGTCACCGCTAAAAGATACAACATTTGGCAGCAATAAATAATGTTGCCACTGAAAGTGCTTTCTACGGCGACAAAATGTCACCACTGAAACATACTTTCAATGGCGACTATCTTGTGTCACCGTTGAAAGTGTTTTTCAAATTTCTTTTATTATTTTTATTAAAGGTTATTATATTCATATCATAATTGTTTTTATTGATACAATTAACTCTAAATAACTAAAGTTTTTTTTAATGTATTATTGTGTTAGGGGGAGAGTGTGAGAGAGATAATGTAGTGAGTGAGAAAGAAAGGAGGAGGTAGAACGGGTGGGGTGTGTATGAGATAGAGATGTGTTATAATTATATATGTAAGATAGAATTAAGGATATGTGTGAGGAATGGGGTGTAAGCATTCGTGAGAGAGATGTAAGTTTGAGAGACAAGGAAAGATGGGAAGGTAGTGATAGATAAAGTGTGTGGGAGAGATATGTAATATGTAATTCAAATATAATTGAAAGTGAGATGATGTGTGAGAGAGAAATGCATTATAATTGAAAGGGATAGCATAGTTAAATTTATGAGGGAGAGATGATTATAGTTAAATTAGTGTGAGTGTACTTAAATAAGTGATAATATTTGATGATGAAGATTTGCATGAGAAGGATGAGTGGAAAATAATATAATTAAGGGGGATAATATAATTAGATGAGTACAAATTTCAAATGAACAAATTTAAACTTGATTTCTTGTTGTCATTAAGAGATCATAATCACGTGATCCCATTTAAAATAATTTGAAAAGGCAATAAAAAATGTTATATCTTAGATATATGAATCAATATAGTATAAATATACAAATGAATTCGAATAAACTATTCATTTTGCTCCTTCAAATATTATGACTTGTTGATTGATGGTGATTAACTCTAAGTAACTCCTTCAAATATGCAAACATTCAGCGGTGACATTGATAGTCGCTGCTGAAGGTAGCATTCAGCGGTGACTTATTGTCACCACTGAAAGCATATATTTGGTGACGACTTAAATGTTAGTGGCAACAATTTCTAGTTTTAGCGGCAATTTTTGTTGTTGCCACTGATAATTATTAGCGATAGCTATTACGGCAACGACTTGGTGACGACTTTTTGTTGTCACTGAAAACTTTCAGCAGCGACTTTTTGATTTTCAACGGCAACATGCCAATTTTTTTGTAGTGTTAGTTATATCATCCTAAAATCATCACTTTTAAATGTTTTTTTGGTAATAATTATAATTATTTTAAAAATTAAACTTAATATAGTAGTAGTTGAGATCAATATTCAAAATCTTAATAGTATCATTTTTTATTAATAATTTTAGTCATTAAATAACTAAAAATATTTTTTTTTAAAATTAAGAGACCAAACTGAATTCTTATGTAGAGTTAAAAGCTTTTTATTAAAATGAAAGTTTTGACATTTTCAAAACAAAAGTTTTCTAAATTGTATTATAACTATTTTTTTTAAAAAAACTCGATGAGAATATATTAATCAGTTTATTACTTGTTATGAATATCATCAAGTGGTTTAACTTTATCAACTCCTATTATTTTTACGATGCATTATTCATCCACTACTCTATTATTCCTTATGTGATTGGTTATCCTCTATTTTTTATTTAGCTATGTCTATAAATAAAACATGCAATTTGTGTTGTGAGATAAGTGAAAGAATATAATATCAATCTCTTTTTTTTTGGGTCTATATCTCTTATCTATTATACTTCTATAGTCCCATTCCATAAGATTACTCTCTTTTTAAACCATGGGTCATTAAAATAATAAAATCACTTTTTTTTCCCCCCTGAACGGTTGAAGTCCCTTGCTTCGTTTTGTCCAAAAAATAAAAAATCCCTCACTCCTCAAATTCCATATAGGCCCTAATCTCCCCACCTCTGTTTTTTTCCCGCCACCCGAACTACTTCGTCAAGCATATCGACCGATTTACTTTCTTTCTTTGTTTTTTTCAACCTTCCAAGTGAACGAGCGATTTACCTTTTAGTTTTGATCGGAGGGGCTCAGGTCGGGCAGTTTCCAGTTCCCTCTCGCCTTCCCCTCTCGCCTCGCAGGTCACTCTCTCACAGCCTCTCGTCTCGTCCTCTCAGGTCAGTCTGTCACCGCCTCTCGTCTCATGCTCTCACAAGTCGCAGTATCGCTCTCTTCTTCTCTCTTCTCGCCGGCGCAGGTGGCAACCTCACAGAGTCACTGCCGCCGACCGACGGCGGCACTTGCGTTTTGTTGGTGAGTCTTGTCTTACTTCTTGTAGGAGCCTTCTGTCGTGCTTTGTGGTTCTCCCTCTGGAACATAGTTATTCTTGCACTGACTAGTAGAAAAATCAAATGGATGAGCGGGAGCCTTCTCATTTGTGTCTTGTTGGAGAACCTGATTGGTGGTGGTGCGAAGATCTTTCAATGCTTTAAACTTGAGTGGTTTGAGTGCACTGCATCTTGCAATCTTAATCTCTCCCTCTGAAACATGTTGGTGTCTTCAACCATTGATTGGTTCTTCCCATTTGCTCTGCAATAGATATTAGAATCTGCACATTGACGCCTTTGTCTTTATCATGCTTGTGACTACTTGAATTAGAGTTAGAATCTGCAGATCGCAGATCTTGCACTGGCCTATCATTCGAGCGTGGAGTCTGCTGCCAATCCTCCCCCTTTTCTGCTCCGTCGCACTGTAACTTCCAATCTCACAGATCGTTCGTTTTAGAACAACTCAAAGCACGCTAAATGCAGATAAAGAAAAAAATTTCTATCGGTGACCTGTTTTCATAAATCAAATACCTGGTGATCCATCATTTTTTTTAATGCTGTGAATTGGATTTTGATGCCCCTGAGGTGTTTGACAGATTGTATGGGACTTTGACCCCTCGCTCAGTTTCTGATACATTGTCTCGGCAATAGCCCTCTTCTTTATATAAATATATATATATATATCTCTCTTTATATATATGTATCGTCCTCACTAACTTTCACTTTAGTCCCATTTCTAATCCTTTTAATTTTAAGAAAAAATTCTAAAAAAATAATAGTTGAATTTTAAAATTTTAAATTAAAAATTATTATAAAAATTAAAAGTGTTCATAGGACAGGACAGGACAGGGACGACCCCGTACTAGTCTCGTCCCGATAATTGGGACGAGATGGCTTTTTCGTCCCGTGTCCCGTCTCGTTCCAATAGCGTCCCGCTCCAATTGGGACATGATATAACTGGGACATGACATGGACATTCTCTTTTTTTATTTTTTTTAATTTGAAAATTAACAATACGGAAAATATAAAAAGTTATAATAAAAACTTTGCAAGGAAAATATATAAAAATAATGAAACAATAATAAAGAAAAATGTTTTTTGTAATAAGGAGAGACAAAAAATAAAAATATTCACTATAGAGAATATCGTGTAATCCATACAAAAACAACTTATAAACAATTAAAAAATAACAATTGATAAATATCATTACCAAAATAATATTACAATAATAAATAAAATAAATATATAACAATTAAAAAAGAAAATAATATATTGGGGGACAAGACACTCTCGTCCCACGTCCTATCCGGTCCCGAAACAATTTTGTCCAGTCCGGCTTTCATCCCGTTCTAAAATGACTAAGACAGAGACGGGACACTGAGACGGGACACAGTTGAACACCCTTAATAAGAATGTGTTGTCATTTACTTTTTGAATATAGTTTTTTATGAGTATAGTTATCAATATTATTTTAAAATTTTAAAATTTAACAGTCATTTTTAAAAAATTGTTTTCCTAATTTTAATATCATTAGACCTTATTTAATGAAAAATATTGCCTCAGCAAATTTGAATTGGAATTTGCATCTTCTCCTCTACTTTTTTTTTTTCTCCTATATTTTTGTCTTCTCATCCTGTCCTTAGAGTTGGATAAAAAATAAACAGCTAAGATTCAATATTTCACAAATTTTTATTTTTTTATATTTTCATTTTCAGGTAGTTTATAGTATTAAACTATTTAGATTAGATTTTAATACTTCAAATTAAATTTATTTATCTATACTTTGTGTCATGTTATACTATAATCATAACTTTATAAATTATTAAATTTTTTTCCAGGTAAATTATTGAATTTCAACCCTTCAATTGTTGATTCAATAATAAGGCTAGGATCAGAAGAAAGCAAAAGGAGACAAAAATGAGGAGACATCAAATTCTTTAAGTGGTGATTTGTGTAACTATTTAACTAATTTAACTAAATACTAACAAAGCATGTTTTGAATTTTAATTTTTTAATACAATCATTTAATGTTTTAAATTTTAAATTTTAAATATATTTTATTAGGATTTAATTACAGGATCAATGTTTAAATTTGCTGATTCACTATTTTTCGTTAAATAAGATTAATGGTATTAGGGTAATAGAATTAATAATACATTTTATAGACTCAAGGAATTAAATTGAAATTTAGTGTAAACTTAAGGCAGTCAAAGTATACTTTAGTGTTGATTTTTTTGGCCAATTTATTAACTAAATATCTAGTGCTATTTTTGGGACCAATTTATTTATATATTTAATAACATAACTCCCTTTCCATACACAATGCCCTGTCATCTCCCGCCCTTGCGAGACGCGACCTTTCCCCACAAGTTCACCTTACCACAGTCTTCTTCGCTACCGTCGCTGCCACGATCGCCGAACACACCCGCCGCCGCCAACTGCCACTGATCGCTGCTTCGACGAGATAAGGTGACCCCTCCCCCTGAAAAGAAAACTGTTGGAAGCCACCGTGGATTATCTTTATCTTTCTCTCTCATCTTTTAAGTGGGGCCTGTGGCATATTTGATTATCAGAGGAATACGGCTAGGAGGTCTTAAATCTAATGTCTCACATTTTCTGAAAGCTGTCTTCTTTTTCTGGATGCTTAGTGAAAACATTATTGACTGGTCTCAACTCTTCTTCTTTTTATACTCAATACGACTTATGCTTACCCGCAAAGAGATAACGTTGGGCAAAAATAAATCATGCTCCCATTTGTTTTACAAGAACAAGTGTTCTTTCACAAGGTTACAAGGTTAGCAATTTAATTGAAACTGCCTTGAACACCAGGCATGAACGCAAACATAAGTAACTTAGCTATATAAATTCATTGGATACTATTCTTTAATATTTGGAAGGGATTATTGTTTTGTAATAAATTCCAAACAAGGGAGCAAATAATGCGGCCAGTCTTTGTGCAATGTTGTATTTTTCACACGACGATGTTCTGTTTCTATCAATCAAGCTTTGAAGTTCTTTGGCTAAAAAGTTCAATTTGAGGAGTTTGAATTTTTTGACATTAGTTTTTCAGTGCTAATAGGTACATTTTCTTTTTGTGTGGTACAATCTAGAACAGAGTTAATAACGAGATGGTGTTGCTATTAATATTTCATGCCAGGAACAACATTTGAAATTATACCAGTATTGTGCTCTCTTTTATATGAGAAGGGTCGTCTTAAGGAAGATGAATATGTATTATTTTTTTAAGTAAACAATATTTTTGTCAAAAAGATTTAAAATTTTCTTCTATCCTTTGTGAGGCCTGACCTACTCAGCTTCTCAGTTCCACTTGCGTGGTTCTAAATTAGTCCACAGAAAAATTGAGGCAAAGATTTGTGCTTTCTTTTTGGCCCCTCAGAAGCCTCTGATCATGTAACTCATCTTTGAAAGCTCCGTGCCTTCTTTTCTACTGCCATCTTCGGCTTTGGAATTTTAGGTTGAAAAATGAGTCATGGGGATTTTGAAGCTATTATTTCTTGCTTCTGCATTCCCCACCGTGGTGTTTGGTATACATCTTGAGCTTGAAATTGGACTTCAAATTTTGTGGTTTGCTGGTAGATTTTATTTTTTTACAGAATATAGTGTTTGCCCCATAGCTCTACGGTTGTGATTCAGTTTTGTGTTTCAATGTCATTAAATCCCCCCTCGCCCACATAAAAGTTTTGTGTTTCAATGTCATTAAATCCCCCCTCCCCCACGTAAAAAAATGAGTAATCATTTGTGTGTCAAGTATAGACTATTTTAACTGTTGTAATACGGTTCATCCGTTGGAAAATATCTAATTGAAGTGTCTGCCCCTTTAAATTTCATCTCTTAATTATTTTCCTAAAAGAGTTGGATGGCCATTGACAAAGTATAAAATTGAGGCACCTGTCATGGACGCCCCTTAAGTGTTTGACACTATTCACAATAGAAAAAGGTATCCAATGATAACCTTTTTCGTTTTGTTTTTTAACTTAAGTTTTTTTTAATGACTGGAAGGTGATTAATTGGGATTTTGCTATAAATCGTGTTTGATAAGAGCCCACTAGGTTAAACTAAGCCCTTTCCATATTATTTTCTGCAATTCCAGGAGAAAGATGTATAGAGCACGAGCTGAAGGCCTAACCTTCACGAAGGAACCATATATTGAGGATGTTGGACCACGCAGAATGTGAGGGATTTTACCTGTTATAACTAGTCTTGATTGAATCTGCTGCTTGTCGGTGTGTAAGGGCTTTTGACTTCAGGTTTTATTGTTGCTTCTTGCAGCAAGAGCATGCAATTCACGGCATTATCAGAGTCTGAGATCAGTAAAATTGCCGAGGTTCAAGTTGCAAAAGGTTCATATTATGATTCAAGTAGACAGCCATTTGAGAATGGCTTGTTGGATCCGCGCATGGTACTCTGTCCTGGTTTTAGTCCTTTTCTGTGTGTCTTTATGCGTTTATCTTGGTTTTGTTCAATGTTTATAATTCTGTCATCTGTGCATGTCATGCTTTGCAATGTCTACACGTGATCCTAATCCTCAATTAATGATGTTTTAGGACTCACAACAACGTACCTTTGTTTAAGTGCTGCATTGCAATAAATGTAGTGTCTTTTAGATTTTACAATGTGATACTGAATGTAACTCATGGTAATGTGACACTAGTACAAACTTCCATTCTGCTCGATGATATCTCTCTAAAAAGTTTATGATTTCCAAAGAACAGAATACTTATTTTCATTCTATTCAGGGCCCTGCTAATAAGAGTTGCACATGTGCAACATGCCATGGGAAATTTGCTGACTGTCCAGGGCACTACGGATACTTAAACCTTGCTCTTCCAGTTTTCAATGTTGGGTATAAAGAAAAAATTTTGCAAATATTGAAGTGCATTTGTAAGGTATGGAAGTTTAAGTGTCTCTTGTCTATTCTCTTTTTCTCTTCTTTTCTTATTCCCTTTTTTCTATTAGCATGCTGTTCTGAATGTCTTGCCATTGTTCGCTTGGGGCCTGAGCTTTTGAAGAGTAGTTATTTATGCTGGTGTTATATTTTCAATATTAATATCCATAGTCTCTAAAACAATTTCAAGTCTGCTGAATTCTAATTTTAGTGTGATTAATTTTATCTTTTGGTGTCAAAACTTTTCCCTGCAAAAGAAGGGAATAAATTGAAAATTGATCTCATCCTTCAGATGTTCATTTTAAGTGTGCACGGAATACAAATCGATAATGTTCATTCTCTTTTAATCAAGCATTCTTTCTCCATTCTCCATTTGACATAAATTTTGGGGCAGAGCATAGCATGCTCTTTCTGACGTAGTAGTCTTGAATCATTATCTTGTTGTATATGACTGTTTTTGAATCAAGTCTGATTATTCGGTGATTTCTCTACAGGGCTGTGCCCGCATTCTCCTAGATGAAGATTC